TGTTTCTGCAGCAAGAGCTGCTTCCTTTTCTATTCTCTCATCTCCTTGTTGTTGCACAAGAAAAGGCTGTGGTGTGATAGGTGTTGGTGGAGAGTGAGCAGGTGGTGGGGACGGAACGTCAGAGAATGTAGTGGCAGAGCTGCTTCGAGACGTCTCCTTAGCAGCTGGTTTAGGTACTGACGTTCTGCCAGCCTTCAGCCTTTTTGCCAAAGGCTCATTTTGATCTCTCTCTTCCTCTTTGTCAGAGAGGGTGATGGATTTCTCAGAGGATGCTCCCTCTGCCTTCTTAGTGCTGCTGAAGGTTCTCTTCAACCTTTGACATGAACGTTCCCCTTTTCTTAGGGGAGCTTTAGCAGGGGATTTCTTTTTTCTCTATTTACTTTCAATAGCAACAGGGGCATCCTTTTTCACCTTGGTGGGAGGGAGAATAGTTCTTTTTGCCGGAACGTGGGTAGAAGTGGAGGATTTTGAAGGAGTGGCCTTTGTGGTTTTCTTCTGAGGGACCACAGGAGCTTCCTCTTCATCACCACTGGTGACAGTGCGTGTGAGGTCTTCAGGAATGGGTTGGGTTGTATCAATGTAGGTGCTCCTAAGACCATTCCAGGTCTTAGCATCGATGATAGATGCTACCTTTGTTATGTCATCCTGGTGGGCCTCCACACCAGCTTTCAGGCAGAGTTTGGTGATGAGACAAGGGAAGCAGACGGTGGTCTTTCTCATCTCCATCTTCAAGCTGTTATAAATAAGGGGTACTGCATTAAAAGGAGTGTTCTTCATGATGCAATAGATTTGGATTTGGAGGGCCCACTTGACAGTGGCCTCATGCGTGGAGGGAGTGATGTTGGAATTGGCAAATAAAGCCCATAATCGGGCTTCATCCCTCATGCTTCCTTTGCAGAGGGATCCTTTGGTGTAGGTGGGGTTCCTGATGGCTATTGTCTACTTCACGCTCCCCAAAAATTTGGCAACTTCCTTACTGTCTATGTACTCCTGGTATGGACATTTGGAGACAGTAGGAAGGTAGAGTACTTCCTTGATAGCAGCGGGGGAGAACGACACTTGCTTTCCCCTCACTGTGACCATATCAGAGGCATCATCTTCAGGCAGTCTCCTGGTTTGATACAGGAACTCACCCACCAGACATTCATCTCACGGTCGTCAGTGGCAAAACGAAGCCACTTAAGGCTGGTCAGAGCCTTCTTCACGAAAGGAGGAGGACAAGTTTTTCTTGCTGCAAGGATATGTTTCTTTCTGGGTATAGATGGATGATGGGTTCAGTGAGCTCTGGCTCTTGGCCACGGCTGGCCACAGGAGTTACTTTCATTGATAGCTTGGTCATTTTTGACAAAAAGAAGGTTAGGGCACAATGCAGAAGAAGGGAAAAGGAAATGGTAGTTGCATTAATGGTTGAGGAGACGGTTGCTTTTTCTTAGCATGTTTTCAAGATTTGCAATAAATGCAAATTTGATATGGCTGCGTATCTTTTTGAGTGACTCAGCAGGGACAGGTGTCCCAGTCATTCTTATCTTCTAACCCAGGGAACGTTCCCTTTGTCTTTTCTTAATAAAAATCCTAATTATTATTTACTAACTATTATTAAAAGAAAAGGTAAAGAAAATGCCGATTAATTAAATGTAAATCTAATCTAATGAAGGGAAAGGGAACATAAAGCATTACTAATTACTTATTTACTACTGTTTATAACAATTTTCAAAATATACATATAAATGAAATATAGTTTTTTTTTAAGAACATTGGGATTGTGTGGTCAGGGACCACCCCAAAACTACGTTCTTGGAACGGAATATATGTTATTTGGACTTTGGAGTGGAACATCAGACGTTCCCTCCTTTTGGGAGCTGTGTGGTTAAGACCCAAAACTTTGCTCTTTGTTAGAGAGAAAATGTATCCACTGGGTTGCCTCCCAGTCAGCGCTTAATTTAATGTCTTTAGCTAGATATGGTACTTACCTCTCAGGTGTATTCAGAAAGAGGCATACTTTCCTCTTTTTCATTGAAGGTTTCATTATTGTATAGTTTCAACCTGTGTCCATTCACCTTGAAGGAACGGCCATGTTTAGATCCTTGGATTTCAAAAGCTCCATTTCCTGCATCATTTACAATTTGATATGGCCCAGTCCATCTTGATTTGAGTTTTCCTGGGAATAGTCTGAGTCTGGAATTGAAGAGAAGTACTTTCTGGCCAATTCTTAGATCTCTGTTTCTAATCCTTTTATCATGCCATTTCTTCATCTTTTCTTTGTACAATTTATGATTTTCACACGTGTTCCCTTTGAATTCTTCTAACTCTCCAAGTTGTAGCAGTCTTTTTTCTCCTGCTGCCTTATCATCCATATTGAGGGCATAGACTGCCCAGTAAGCTTTGTGTTCCAGTTCGAGGGGAAGGTGGCATGCTTCGCCAAATATCAATCTGTATGGAGAACATCCTAGGGGTGTCCTATATGCAGTTCTATAAGCCCATAATGCTTCATCTAACTTGAGAGACCAGTCTTTTCGAGAAGGATTAACTACCTTCTCTAGCTTCCTCTTAACCTCTCGGTTAGAGACTTCAATGAGACCACTGGTCTGTGTATGATATGGAGTAGCAACCTTGTGTTTGACTCTATATTTTTCCAACAATCTCTCAAGTTGGCGATTAATGAAATGTTTCCCACCATCGCTGATGAGAGAGCGTGGGGTCCCATATCTGGTCAAAATGTTCTTCTTTAGAAATTTTATAACCACCTTAGCATCATTAGTGGGTAAAGCAATTGCTTCCACCCACTTGCTTACATGATCCACGACCATCAATATGAATCTGTTCCCACACGAAGGAGGGAAAGGCCCCATGAAATCAATGCCCCAAACATCAAATAATTCAACTTCTAAAATTGGATTTAGGGGCATTTCATTTTGTCTGGTTAAGTTACCTTCCCTTTGACATTTATCACATTGTTTAGCATATTGAAGTGCATCTTTAAAAAGGGAGGGCTAGAAAAAACCTGATTGAAGAACCTTGGAGGCAGTCGTGATTCCACCCAGATGACCTCCATATGGGGACAAATGGCAGTGTAGAAGGATTTGAGGTTGTTCTTCTTCTGGGACACACCTCCTTATCATTTGATCTGCGCATCTTTTGAATAGTAGTGGTTCATCCCAGAGATAGTTCCTGCAGTCATGAAAGAATTTTTTCTTCTGCATTCTGTTTTCCTCGTAAGGTTCTAACCCTACTGCAAGGAAGTTGGCTATATCAGCAAACCAAGGGTGAATTGTCAGGGAACATTTCCTTGATTGGTAGACCCACTTCGATATTTTCTAATCTGGACAGGTGATCTGCAATTTGGTTTTCACATCCTTTTCTTTCTTTGATCTCCAGATTGAATTCTTGCAGCAACATGATCCATCTTATCAATCTTGGTTTTGCTTCTTTTTTTGAGAACAGGTACTTGAGAGCTGCATGGTCAGTATGGATAGTAATTTTTGATCCTAAAATGTAAAGCCTGAACTTTTCGTAAGCATATACTACAGCCAACAGCTCTTTTTCTGTGACTGTGTAGCTCACCTGAGCTTCATTCAAAGTTTTACTGGCGTAGTATATGCTACGAAAGAGTTATTCTTCCTATGGCCCAGAACTACCCCAATAGCATGATCACTTGCATCACACATTAATTCAAAAGGTAAGTTCCAGTCTGGAGGTTGGATGACAGGCGTGGTAATGAGCTTGTTTTTCAAGGATTCAAAAGCTTTCAAGCAATCAGAGTTAAACTCAAATTTCATATCTTTTTCTAACAAGTGGCTCAAAGGTCTAGCTATTTTGGAAAAATCTTTAATGAACCTTTTGTAGAAGCCTGCATGCCCAAGAAAAGATCTCAGAGTTTTAATATTCACCGGTGGTGGCATCTTTGCTATGGCTTCTACTTTGGCTTGATCCACTTCTAGTCCTTTTCTGGAGATCTTATGTCCCAAGACTATTCCTTCTTTCACCATGAAGTGGCATTTTTCCCAATTAAGCACTAAATTAGAGGACAGGCATCTTTGGAGGACTTCTTCCAAGTTCTCCAAGCAGTGGTCATATGACGTTCCCAGCACCGAAAAGTCATCCATGAAAACTTCTACTCCTTCACCTATTAGATCAGAAAAAATAGAGAACATACACCTTTGGAACGTTGCTGGTGCATTACATAACCCGAAGGGCATTCTTCTGAAAGCGAATGTTCCATATGGGCAAGTGAAGGTGGTTTTATGTTGATCTTCCGGTGCTAGAGCAATCTGATTATACCCCGAATATCCATCAAGGAAGCAGAAGTACTCCTTTCCTGCTAGATGATCCAACATCTGATCTGTATAAGGGAGCGGGAAATGGTCCTTCCTGGTGGCATTGTTGTGCTTTCTGTAATCTTGGCAAATTCTCCATCCTGTAACTTTTCTTACAGGTATTAGCTCATTCTTCTCATTTACTTCCACTGTTATGCCTCCTTTTTTGGGAACGCATTGGACAGAACTTACCCAACTGCTATCAGATATTGGGTATATGATCCCTACATCTAGCCATTTGATGACTTCCTTTCTTACCACTTTTTTCATTATAGGATTCAATCTCCTTTGGTGTTCTACTGAAAAACTGTTAGGATCAGTCAATAATATTTTATGCATACAGAATGAGGGACTGATACCTTTGAGATCCGCTATGGTCCAGCCGATAGCTCCTTGGTACTTCTTGAGCTTGTTGAGCAACAGTTCTTCTTGTTCTTTGGTGAGAAATGAAGAAATAATCACAGGGAGGGTGTTATTGTTCCCCAGATATGCATATTTCAAGTGTTAGGGAAGAGGCTTCAGTTCAAGATCAGGAGGTTTTTACGAAGAAGGTCGTTTGAGTTGTTTTTCCTTCTCAGTGCTTATCAAAGGTTCCGGTCTCCTTTCTTGCAGATAGCAACTCTGCTCCTCTTTTTGTGGACCTTCTTCTTCTTCCTCATATTCTTCCCCTTCTGTTTTTTTGCTGAACTAGTTATCTAACAAAGTAAGTGCAGAACACTCTTCCAAATCTTCTTCTTCATCCTGGAACTTCATTGCTTTAACGATATTAAATTTGATTTCATCAACATGAACTCTCATAGTTAGTTCCCCTTTTTGTACATTGATAACTGCCCCTGCAGTTTCTAGGAACGGTCTACCCAGAATGATGGGAACGTCAATATCAGCTTCGTAATCCAAGATGATGAAATCAGCGGGCAAGATAAATTTGTCTACTTTGACTAGCAGATCTTCAATCTTCCCTTCTGGCTTGACAATGGATCTGTCTGCCATCTGTAAAGTTACTGTGGTTGGTTCAGCTGGCCCCGTGGATAATTGTTTGAAAACAGATAGAGGCATGAGATTGATGCTTGGCCCTAAATCACACAAGGCCTTCCCTTGGTATGTATTTCCTATAATGCAAGGAATGGTGAAGCTTCCTGGATCTTGAAGCTTAGGTGGAAGTTTGCCCAGATACTGGCAACTTTCTTGTGTCATTTTTACAGTCTCATATTCTATTATCCTCTCTTTTTTAGAGAACACCTTTCATGAATTTTACGTACCTGGGCATTTGTTCTAGTGCGTCCACCAGAGGGATATTGATGTGGAGTTGTTTTAGAATGTTCAGGAACTTTCCAAACTGCTTATCATCTTGTTGCTTCTTTGTTCTCTGAGGGAACAAAATTTTTGTTCGTATTTTACTGCTTAGAGTTGGACTGATTGGTTGACTTCTGTCCACCTAGTTTTCATTGGCTTTGGCTTCTTTTCCAGGTTCTGGTTTCTGCTCATCTGTGGCTGGTTGTTGTTGTTGTGCTTTTGGAGCTGCTTCAGATGCTTTATTCTGTTCCTTTTTCTCTGGCAAAGTGGTGGGTTGTGTAGTGGCTTTCCCACTTCTCAAGGTGACCGCCTTGATTTGCTCTGAAGGGGAATTGGGTAAAGTGAGTACTACCTTTGCTGAGGTTGTTGAGGGGACGTCAGTATCCCCTGGTAGTGATCTTTGTGCTCTTGTATTGAGACTGGCAGCAATCTGTCCCAAATGGGATTCAATGTTCCTGAAAACTGCATCATTCCTGGTGATATATTCTTTGACATAGTTTTCCAAGGTATTGATGCGTTGGTCATCTCTGTGAAACAGAATGTAATTGTTTCTTCTTTGTTGTTCAAACATTCCACTACTGCTACCTTGCTGGTACTGCTGCTGAGTGGTGAATGGTCTGTGGTTCATGGGTGGCCTCCATTGGGGATTATGGTTCTGATCTTTTGTGATAGTTCCTCTAGGATATGAATAGGTATTGCGTCCTGCTTGCTGATTATCCCTGGCTTAGGTGAAGTTCCTGTTGCCAAATTTTTCTGCATAACACACCAATGCAGTGGATGGACAGTCTGTTGAATCATGAAGGTCTCCACATGCTGAGCATGGTTCAATTTCAACTGCTGTGAGTTGCAAGACTTCAATCCTTGGTGCTGCTTGGTCAGCTTTCAGGTTCTTCACTTCATTCATGAGTGATGCCAGCTGGGCTTCCATGGCAGTTTGTTTATCCAGTTCTAGCATGTCTGGCTTCCTTACTGGGCTCACTTGTCTATTGGCCATTAGAAACATCTTTCAGCAGTTCTTTCTATGATTTCGTACCTTGATTCAAGTGTTCCTGTAAAGAAATATCCTCCTGCAGCAAAATCTAAGTGAGATTGAGAAGTATGGTCAAGTCCCTTATAGAAAGATTGTAACACTCCCCAACTTTCTACCCAATGGTTTGGACATTTTCTGATGATGTCCTTGTATCTCTCCCATGCTTCATAGAGATTTTCTCCATAAAATATCTTGAAGTTAGAGATTTCTGCTTTAACATCAGCTTGTCGGGACATAGGGAGAAACCTCTCTATGAATTTGTTAGAGAGTTTCTCCCATTAGTGTATTGAACCAGGGGTGAGAGTTTTTATCCATATTATTCCTTTAAAGCCCAAGGAGTGAGGAAATAACCTCATTCTCATACTTTCCTCTGTCACACCCTCAGCTTTAAAATTATCACAGATATCTTGAAAGGTGATGAGGTGTGTGTAAGAATCTTCTGTAGGGAGTCCATTGAAGACTCCTGCTTCCCTAATCATGTGAAACATGATAGGTTTCAGTTCGAAATTGGGTGCTACAGGAGGGAGGATTACTCCCCTCTCTGGTCTGTTCCTAAAAGGAGCAGCCAGAGTTCTGAATAAAAGTTAGTGAATGAACTGTATGGTCAAACGTTCCCTACTGTCTTGACAACGTTCCTCAGGAATAGTAAGTTCAGTCTGATGGCAAACAATTGCTCGTTGCGTTATATATGTGATCCTTCCTGTTTATAAGAAGGTGAGATAATAATCATTGGAGATTTGGTAGATACAGGATTAAATAAAGTAAAAATAATAAAACAGTACCAACTATAATTAAGAGACAACAAGTGGATGGTTTTAAAAACAGTTTAACAAAAGGAACGGATTCACTGATCCATTCTTAAATAGTTATTTCCTCTGCTCAAGACTTAGCACTTTTTGTCTTTGTCCCAGTTTCTTATCTGCCAACTCCGATTCCTCACCTCATGGTCGAGATGGCTCACAAGTTTCCATATTCTTATGGCTCCCTTGACTCCAACAGGTACTCAGTACAGAACCTTAAAGTGGACGAAGCGGCCCCTTATTCCTAAGGTGACCAATAGTGTTTCTGCCATGACACTACCTGCCCCCAATGGCTAAGCTGTCTGAAATCCCTTCCATATGGAAGTTCCTTTCTCAGTATGTGTTCAATTTCCATTGATACACAATGAATATAGCTTACTTAGCCAAAGAAATACAAAAAGCATCAGTCAAGAGTTTCGAAAATAATTCTTTAAGAATGTTGCAGTTTATCCGTCCCACAGATAGTTCAGCCCATGGCTGATGTTTTAAACATAATTATTCTAAACTGAAGTCCCATAGACCCGAGATTCAACTCAGAGATAACGAATGGAACGAAAAGAAGAAACACTTATATTAAATTGAAAGACAGTTTACAACAAAACATCAAAATGAAGAAGATGGTTTGATGCTCGTGAGGAGTCTTAGGGGATGATACAGAACAGAGAAGAAGGGTTGTCACTTAACTACAGTTACAACTATATAAAACTAAACTACTAACTACTACTAGGTGATCTCTTCTTTTAGGACTTTCAATCCCTCCAGAATTCGATGATGTTTGTGTATTTGGGACATCCTATTTATAGGCAGAAGAGAGAGTGGCAGTCTTGTAAATCCTTTGGAGTTGGTTTCTTGAATGAAGGGACGGGGCGGTGACAACAGTGTTTAGAAGCTTTGCAAGTTGCTTGATGGGACAATATTTGTTGATGATTAGCTGTTTTCTGCAGTCCCCCATGCCTTGCTTTCTTCTTGGCCAATGAGAACTCTTGATTCTCTGCTGTTCACGTTTCCTGCTGCTTAAGTGGTGCACCGCCTTGCTTTTTAGAAGACGTTGTTTCCACGTTTCCTGTAAAATGAGCAAAGCATTAAATGAAGGTAGCAGGTGTAATAAATGCTCTCAATCTGTTCCTCTTTTAATATGTTTTCAAAGGAATACGTCATCATACGTTCCCCCACTGTGTTTTTGTCACAAATGTGTAAAACAAGTGATTTTCATGCTAAGTTGCTCATCATATAAGGGAACGTAAGGTATTTTGCCATCAAAATAGGCATAGATGGGAACGAATTTACGTCCCATCAATTGTTTTTAGAAAAACATAAAATTGAGAAGTAACGAAGTTTAGTAAAATATTTCACAGAAGTTTCCTCCCTTTCTCCACAAGTCCTCACGACATTGTTCAATAGTTATTTTATTTGTTGATTCTGTATTTGAGCGATCCTACAGTGTCCCACTTTTTCACCGGGGTTTGTAATGCTCTGAAGAATAGGAGCTGCCTCCTCAAATGGATCATATGTATCATCCACACTCCTGCTTGTACTCGGGGATCGTGCTATACCCAATGTAGTCTGCTCTTATACCTACAAATCCCATCAGAACTAGTCTAATGAAAACTGGTCCGAAACAGCCCTTGAAGAGTGTCTGAACCATATCTGATGGTCTTCCACCTGTTTATTGCATCATGATCCGTGTATGCATTAGCATAAAATTTCATGCAAATCTCCTTTGAGCTATCAGTGGGAAGTGTGCCACAGTCTTTCCATCTTCTCCTAATAAGATTGTTGACGAAGTCTAGATGTTCCCCGGTTTCCACCTTTCATGGTCTTTCTCTCATTATGGGCTTGCCCAATTTAATGGTCCTGAACCTGTCAGCATGATTTTTGCGGAACAAAATCTGAGTGCATCAGAGCCCTGTGCACTGGACGCCTCTCCAGCTTGCTGCGTCACTCTCCCTCTCTTCTTGGTATTTTTTATTCTGGTTGACATGACCTGACAATTAGAAAAGTATTTCAATGAATATTGGGAAGAATGGAAAATTGATCTGAAAAATATAAAAGATTTAGATACTCAGATTGCCAGATTTAGTATTTAAGTATATCTCAGCTTAAATATCTAAGATCAAAGAGAACATGTCAACATTCATATTTAATTGCAGCACACATTAGCAACATGGACATTAAGCAGGAATTGTCAGTTGATGGTGAAATTTTTAGACAGTCTACAATTAAAAGATAATTGGTATGAGGTTGGCATTTGGATCAAGGAGAAAGAAAGGCTTAAAGGTATGGCTTTGAGCTTTTATAAGAAGCTGTTCTCAGAGGACAGGGAGCAGAGGCAGTGGAGAACCACAACTGTTAGTTGGCCCCTTCTTGAGGACTCAGAATTGAGGATGCTGAACAACTCCTTATCAAAAGAGGAGGTCAAGATGGCATTTTTCCAGATGAGGGGTAATAAGGCTCCAGGACCGGATGAATTCCCAACAATCATTTACCAGAAGAATTGGGAAACTTTGGGGACCAGAATTATTGAAGACATGAAGTTACTTTTTTATCATCCGGAAGGAATAAAGGCAATCAACGACACCCTCCTTTTCCTGATACCTAAGATAGAGGCTCCTGAGAACCTTGGGCAATTCATACTGATCTCGCTCTGCAATGTCCTCTATAAAGCTGTCACTGAAGTTATTGTTAATAGATTGAAGCCTATCATAAAGAAACTGGTTTCTCCCTTTCAGTCGAGCTTTGTTCCGGGCAGAAACATTCAGGATAATATTATCATTGCGCAGGAGCTAAAACACTCGATGAATAGGAAGAGAGGAAACATGGCTTTTATGTCAATCAAAACTGATTTGGTCAAGGCATATGACAGACTCAGCTGGAAATTTATAGAGAAGGTGCTAATGGAGATTAGTATCCCTCCCTTTCTAGTAACTCTAATCCAAGCTTGCATTTCTTCTCCCAGCTTCCAGCTCCTGTGGAATGGTAGCAAAACAACTAGCTTCTCCCCTACTCGTGGAATAAGACAGGGAGATCCTATCTCCCCGTACTTATTCGTGCTTTGTATGGACAAGCTGGCA